CAACAAAGGAAATGAGGTTGGGAGACAATGTGTTTAAAGCAACCAGCCATATTTTTGTCAAAGAAACTGCACAAAACTCACTAATACTCAAGTGGTGTATGCAAAAACATTAGCAAATTAGAAAAATCAATATAAAAGATTCCATCTGTTCATTGATATCTGACGCTTATGCAATAAGAAACTTCAGATTAAGAATCAAAATTTGAAAGCAACTAAAAAGATTAGTAAGTTCAAATCATTTTTAATGATTTTTTTTTTTTTGGCAAAGTTTGACCTTTCTGTCCTGAAAAAAAAAAAAAGAAAAAAGGTGTTTCAAAAGACCAGTTTTTCCCTTAACAATGCTATTATTTTATACTATCTTCACACTCTCAGCAATGTTTATTGTTTTAGAATTAGACTAGAATTTTAATAAAAGCCAAACATAGGAAAATGAATTCATACTTTTACTTTGAGAATAATTATGCACTATTTATTAGATTGTTTATTGACAAGAATATTTTTTTTAAGTGAATTAATAAAGCCACAAAGACTCAATGTTGTATTAAGTGTTATAGAATATAAGAAAATAAACACTGTTAAAGAGAGACAAGAGTAAAAAAAATAAGAATTAAGACAGAAGATAATGATTGACATTGTATTTAAATTTTTGAAGATCAAAATGAACTGGAAAGCAAAAAGTTGGAAGTGTGTTCTACAAGCAATAAGCATGACAGAAGAAACTATTAGCATAGAACTTACAGTTCCATCTAGTCACTTCAACTGTAAAATGATGAGACCTAGCTGCCAATCTAGTACTATGCTTAAATTCATAAAGTCTAGGTACCATAGAGGAAAGTTCATCAGAATAATTACCATTAAAGTGTTTATAGAAAAGACACAGGGAAACTAGGATACATCAGTGGGAAAGTGACTGAATCTAAGATGCCAGGTCAGGACCAATAATATTGCAGATTTCTCTTTGGATTTTACAACATTCTAAAAATATGGACCAAGTACAATGCAATATTTATCATTTACCAATTTATAAAGAAATAAATATAAAAACAATTTTTTTTATTTACAGTTTTATTCCTAAATTTATAAAAATTTACAAAATCATGAAATTAGGTGATCCAACTAAAATGAAATTTTTATTATTTATCATTTTATAAAATTTGAATCAATTGATAATATGATGATATTTTGCCAACCATTCCAGAGAACACAATTTGTTGAAAATTTTGTAGAGTTTTATAGGTTTTTTAATAAAAAGATTTCTTTTCAAATTTATTTATTTACTCACTAAGAAACCAACCTTTGGGTGGACTTTAGGCTAGCTGCTGCAGAGAGCTTTTGGGCCTTTGACCTTTTAGCTTCAGTGTCCTATGTACATAAAAAATAAAATAATTTTATTATTTCTAAATTCTTATATCTTTATTCGACACCTTAATTTGGAATAATCTTCATATGTGCAACCGATCTCCATAGTTTGCTTACATTTATTTTGCACGCAATTTTTATTTTCTTTTAAAATCACCATTCTTCATGCTTTGATTATTGCTGCCACATCTGGTCTAGTGCTCAAGACATATATTTAGAGATCCTTCATAAAACCCAAAGAAGAATCTGCAATATCATTGGTCCTGACATCTCAGCTTCAGTTACTTCCCCCACCACCGTAATGTAGCTTCAAACCTACCTTTTCTATAAATACATTAATGGTAATTGTGCTGATAAACTTTCCTTTGGCACCAAGAGTTTAGGAATTTAAGCACAGTACTATGATTGGTGACAAGGTCTCATTTGACATTTGAAATGGCTAGATGTAACCATAAGTTCTATGCTAACAGTTTCTTTTCTCTCACTTCTTGCTTTTAGAACTCTCTTCCATCTTCTTGCTTCCCAGTCAACTTTGATCTTCAAAATTTTAAATGTAAATGTCAATCATTATCTTCTGTCTGCTTAATTCCTGTTCTTTTTGTCCTCACTCCTTAATGTTTTTCTTATATTCTTTCACTTAGTAACACATTGCATCTTAGTGGCTTTATTGCCTTGCTTGAGGTTAAGTGATTAAAGAAAAAGAATGCACTTATCAGCTCCCCACAAATACCCAATGATATCATCTATAAGCTAAGTCCAGGTGAACACAAATGATGAAAGTATCACTAGCCTTAAAAAGACATACATCACCTAGTGGAATAAACAAATTAGTTAAAACATGTCTGTTTCCCTGGGAGTTCAATCACAAGGTCTGGTTCAGTGGAAGAAACAGACAAGTAACACAGAAGGTGAAATAAAACCAGTGGGGTGAAAATGATATGAGTTATCTCCCTTGAACATGGAAAGTGGAATGAGAACAATCTAGTCATGTGGATTGAACAAAGTGTTACAGTCAAAATTCCAAGACACCTGAAGAAATCCGGAAAGTAAAATGGCCAAAACATATTGATTTGAATAGTAAATCAAATCTTATAATGAAACATCCTTTTATATACACTTTAAAAATCAGAAGGTCAGTTGAATCCACTACCTTACAGTATCCTCACACGATTTTTATCAAATGACTTTTCAATCCTGGAAAAAAAAAAAAGTAATGTACATTTCAATTACCCTCCCACCCCATCAATACATTTACAATACCCTTACTTTTATTCTCTTTCCCCATTTGTCGTCATCTTCTTCTCCTTCCTTCTTCACATCCTCAATTTCTATTACATCGTGCATTCGTTTATTTATTTTTGAAAATAATAATATAGCATTCATTATTTTTTTTTTTTTAAAATCAAGTGTTAAGAGGTCAAGTGATAAAAATCGCCTGAAGATACCATAAAGTTGAAACCAAGGTAGCAGATTCAACTGGCTTCAAGATTTCTAAAGTTAAAAGCTCTACATGTTATTTTTACTTTTATTTTTTCATACATGTATTGAGCACTTTTTAATACTAGTGTTTCCTGGTCTGATTCAACTCTGACCATTAACCTTTTATGTATTTAATTTATATATGTATAATAAAAAGGCTTAAACACTAATATTAACCACTAATATTATATATATATATATATATATATATATATATATATATATATAAAAAAATTCTGTAACTTCCTAACTTCCGTTAGTCTGCTACACACCCTCTAAAATAGCTAAACATTGACCAATCAAAACTAAATTTTGGGAAGAAGTGCCAACAATTAAGGGGGTACAAATACATTTGGTTTTAATAGAGTGTGTAGCTTAATAAATTTTCTTAATTTATTTTGAAAATTTAAGTTTTATAACTTAACATACAAAATGTTCCCACTATTTTAAAAATAATTTAAAGATTAAAATAACACTTATTTAATAGAAATGCAATATTTTTTTTTCCACATCTTTTCTTTAAGATTTTCTATATACAAAAATCCTGTTTCCAATTTGCCCTGTGTTTGCAAGAACTATAAACAAATCAAAAGGCTAAACACTTTGAAAAGTTGGAATTTGGCTCCAGAAAAAATATTTATGCATGGCTAGTTGTATGTTGCATGCTCAAGAATCCTAAGAATTTATTCTTTGCTGTTAAAAAGGAAAAAAATAAATTTTCTTAAAAAAATATTGTCTATAAAATTAAATTAAAGAAATTATTAAACCAAAAAGTAATGTTTCTGTCAAAGTATTTTTCCAAACAAATCAGCTTATTCAAATTTCATTGATTGGTTTGTGAAACTGAATGAAACAGAGTTTGTAAATCTTGACAAAAAATGTTAGCAATAGCTTCAACAATAATAAATAAATGATATAATTTCATCAGCGAGATGCAAAAAGAAATTCTAGTATTTAAAAAATTCCAACAGCTTGCTCTCTTTTTGTTTTTCTTAATCAATAAGGTAATAACACCACTAAGACACAAGAGCTACTTTTTTCTTTTTTTACAGTGATGTTCATCTTGTAGAAGGCCCAAGAGCCATTCAAAGTAGAGGGTTACAGAGTTTATATGGATATGTGGGGAAGACAATGGTTAACCCTACACATGAACAGATTAAGATTGTAGTGATTGGGAAAACATCCTCCTGGAAGTTGGTTCCACAGATCAACAGTTTGCAGGAAAAAGCTGCTCAAGTGGAACTTATATATCACTAATGGAATACAAAAGGAATGTGGGTGGTTCACTACAATGTGTGTAGAATCATGGGTTTTAGCTGTGAAAGTTACAACTCTGGTGGAACCAAGGTATGTAGTTCCACTGAAGACTTTCCATGGAAATAACGATAGATCAGCGAGAGACTTGTCAATGTTTTGTCTGTGAGAAAGGGTTGCAAGATGGAACATAATTTGTCACTCACAAGGACGTAAAAATGGTTTGGACTCTATAGACACAGCAAAGAGAAAACTGTGCAGCTCCTATCCATATATGGCTACTGGAAAGGAAGAGAATGGAAAAACTTTAGAAGATTCTGGAACCAAATCCTAAACAGATAAACCTCTACTCTCGTTCAATAGACCCAGGTGGAGTTTGAACCAAACAATAGGCCAACCTATCTACTCCTATTGAAGGAAAAAAAATTTCAGAGTTTAGGTGCGGACATTAGAGTTGAAGTAGATGCTTCAACCAACCACTATAATCTTAACCTGTTCAAGTCTAGGGTCATCAGTTATCTTCCCTACATCACACCATAAAATAGGGACCTAGTGGCTCGGCAGACTTTATCTCTTTTTATTCATCTTTAGCAGTGGGTTTCCAGTACCTTCTCAATTTTTTCATTCTCTTTCACTCCTAGTAGTCCCTTGCGTCTTAGAGGCATTATTGCCTTGTTTGGGGTAAATTGATTTTAAAAACAAAAAAATAAAAAAAAAACTTTTTTCTTTTGTATTATTTCTCTCTTTCTAGATTATTTTTAAAAAAGTATACCAAATATTAAGGAGAACCATTTATCCAGTCATGAATTTAGAGAGCAAAAATGAATAGATATCAGCATATGAAGACATCATTCTGCATCCATGCAGACATCATGCTTGTGGTGGAACTAAAAGTGAAAGATACTCACGAGGGAGCAGATATGTTGAGCGGATGAGGTGATGCCCAACTCTGATGTGGACAGGGGGGCAGAGGTCGAGATTTGGGGTTTCCAAGGTGTCCTTCGAGGACCTTTGAGTAACGATGAAGGTGGTTGCCTGCATGAAAACCATCAAAAATTATTTTCCTCATAAATAACAACAATTAAAATCATTTCAAAAAACAGTCATTGATTAACTAAGGAAAATTTTAAGATTTCAATTTCTGTTTTACAATCATCATCATCATCATCAGTAGCACATGAGACACTGATTTGATTTGCTTAACAGCACATCAAGTCCATATGGGTCATTTTAATACCAAAATTTAAATTTCTTGGGAGATTTGAAGTAATAAAAATATGATATATGCTATTCAAAAAAAAACAATGAGTTTGTGCGGAAAAGGGTTGAATCTTTTGTGGGACACCAGGAATCTCTTCTCATCACTGTCAGAGAAAAATAGTGTGATTTGGGCACATTATAAGGCAAGACAGCCTGTGTAAGACTATCATGCAAGGCACCATTGAAGGATCACATAGCAGAGGGCACCAACACAAAAACTGGTTGCACAATGTCAAAAATGGACAGGAATGAATGTACAAGAACTGCTGAAGGCTGCTTTTAATAGACAGTTGTGGAAAAGAGTTAGTGTGGCTTCTGCATTTGGATCCATCCTACGATTACAAATGTCAAGGGGATGATGACAATATGTTATTCTGCTTTCACAATTGAATACATGGTAGATGATACTCAGCTTTTGTGCATATACATGTTTGTGTGGACATAATTACTAGAGGTGGTGATATATATGTTTGATGTTGTAGTTTTGTTGAAGTTACATTTTGGAACACAATTTGATTTCTTTAAGAAATTGTAGGATATTATATGCACCAATGTCATGAAAGAGTTCTTTCATGTTGGTTATTTTTGCTGGTATTAAAACTTGTTTTTACATGTTTTGACTCCAGTTTGGGGGTTAACCGTTTGCCCATAGCTGGTACCCTAACAGGTCCTACCACCCCAGATCAGAGCGAACCTGAGAATACCAGCAAATTAAGAGGTGGTTCTACACTCCTCAAAACCTCCTGATCAGAGGCCCAGCTATCAGATGTAGTTTATCATCTTACTCAGGACACGGATGTTGTTTAACATGTTACCTAGGACAGCTTTCTATTTGAAATGGTGTGTGTGATGTCCCCCAGTGTTGCTGCACTAAATGTGACGTCTGCCTGGCTGCGCCGCCATGCTGTCCTGTCCACGGCGCCAGACGTGATTTCACCTCGTCTGTCTCCGTGCAGTTGCCGTCCTATCCTGTCTTGTGACGACCAATGTGACTTGGTATTGGTCGCGTGATGCCAGCTCATTTCGTTGCATTCATTTCTGTGCAAATACTCTTGGGAAAGTTACAAAGCCATCTCTTCTCCTCTACCCCCAACTATGAGGTAATTAGCAGAACAGACTGGGTTCTATAACCTTAGTTGGCAACCAGACTACTGCAAAAAGAAATGGCAACCTGCTGCGGGAAAATCTTCTGCCTAGACAGTCATGGATCAAAAGAGACATGATTGACCAAGCATTATCACATATGGCACATAACTGACTGACTCTTTAATATGGCATATAACTGACTCCTTAATAGTATATTTTTCACATATTCTCTAACACTCATTAACCCTTGCATCATGGTTACTTTATTATCTTGCTTGGGGTGAAATGATTTTACAAAGTTGACAATACAGTGTAATAGACTAACACTAAATTTAACATTGAACAATTCAGATTAAACTGTCAGAAACATTGAAAATTGTTCCAAGTTGGATTGACTATTAATGCATCTCAAAATCTATTTTAATTCTCTGTAACTTCAGTTACACCTGTTGAAGATTTATGTTCATCTAGAAAAAAGAATTTATTTTACTGTCAAATAAGAACAATCAAAACAAAATAAAATTTACAAAGAAACATCTTTTAAGTATGATTAGTTGAAACTACCAAGAAGATGCCTGCATGTAGGAGCAAAAGTAAATCCAATGTTTCTTGTTTAGGATTGGATTTCCGGTTCCTTCTATAAATTTTTCCTTCTCTTTCACTTCCGGTGTCCCCTTGCATCTTGGTGGCATTATCTCCATGCTTGGCGTGGTGCCTCTCACTCTGTAAACCCCTATCTTGAGTGGCTCTTGAGCCTTGTAATAGGTGAATATAAAAAAGTAAAAAAAAAAAAGATGTCTCCTGGCAAATAGTTATGCTCTGAATGGTTGCAGAGTTTGCTAAAATTAAAAATTAAAAACATGTCAGAAAATCAACAAAACAAGAACTATAGAAATGTTGTATGAATATTTACCTTCCATTCTCTCTGGGAGGTCAGCAGTTGGCCAAGATGTGTGTTTACCATGACCATGAAAGATTGTGGGCAGCGTTTTGTGGGCAGTGTACTCAAGTAATGCATTCACAAGCCAAAAGCAAT